CCTATATCCATCGATCTAAAATATGCCTCCTCCTAATTCCAAATGTATATGCTAAGTACTCCTAAGCCCCTAACTAAAAACATGTTGTACGTACTGTTAAGTTTCAGCTTTGTTTTCACAAAGCCACAGTAGGTTAATGGCTCATATTGGTTGGATTTAATTAATTGACTCATCAGGACACCTAAGAATGGCACCTAGGAAAAGAGCTAGACCTGCTACTGCTGTTGAAAATAATATGGATGAATAAATATTGTATCGATTGCATATACATGTCACATCCGATTATTTGTATTTGCTTTCAAGCCGAGTCCGCACCGGCTCCGCACCATATCCAACATCTGAAACAATCTGCTCCGCATCCGCATCCGCACATTATCCGCACCGGCTCTGAATCCGCTTAAAAAATATAGTATAGGATATGGTATGACTATTATCCGTCCAAATCCAATAGGTTTTCACCCCTACGCGTCGGGTCCTTCGGCGCCAAGCCTTCGCTTGCCCTTCTCCCATGCATGGTCCATCGCGTAGCAAGTCTTGCTAACCCTTCACCACCTCTTGTGATGAACCCTGAGTTCCTCTTGACACTCAAGGCAGTTGTTTGGCCCGATCTTTCGGAGAGTTGATGACAAATACGATTTGGGAGAAACATTGACGACCCGACTACAACCGTACAAGAAGTTGCGTTGCACCTTAGCGATCGATACACTTCTCCGTGGGTTGTTGATCTTGTCGGTGCAGATAAACCCTATTCCTGCAAGCAAATCAAAGAAACAAGCAAGAACAAGATAAATGCTTAGTAAACCGGTTAAGACCGCTGTTATCGGAGGTAATATCCCCTATGCAAAGTGCCTTTATCCCTGGTAGAATGATTACTGATAATGCTTTGATTGCCTTCAAGTGCATACATGCCATCCAAAAGGGTCCGGTCAGAAATTCTCCCTTTTGTGCGTATAAGTTGGATCTAGCTAAGGCCTACGATCGTGTGGACTGGGATTTCTTGGAAAGTGCCTTAATCAAGCTTGGCTTTTGCAGTCGCTGGGTGAAGTGGATTATGACTTGTGTGACTTCGGTAAGGTATTCTATCTCTTTTAACGGCAATCAGCTGGAACCTTTCTCTCCCTCCCATGGGCTGAGGCAGGGGGATCCCTTATCCCCCAACCGTTTCTTGTTTGTTGCGGAGGAACTGTCATGTACTCTCAACAATGAAGTGGAATCAGGGAACTTACGTGAGTTGAAGGTATGTCGAAGAGCGCCAGGGATATCGCATTTGCTTTTCGCTGACGACAGCCTGTTATTTTTTGAAGCGAGTGCCCAGCAAGCTTCGGTGGTGCAGCATGCCCTCCGTCTGTACCGAGATTGCACAGGTCAGCTCCTCAGCCAAGCTAAATGCTCTCTATTGGTTAATGAAAATTGTCCAGATGAGGTATTTACAGATCTTAAGGAGATGTTAAATATTCAAACCCATGGTTTTGAGAGCTAGTATCTGGGACTACCCACTTTAGAGGGTAGAATGAAAGCTGAACGGTTTAAGTTGAGTAAAGAACGGTTAGCAAAAAGAATGAATAGCTGGTCTGAGAAGTTTATGTCTGGGGGAGCTAATGATGTGCTTATCAAATCTTTGGCATAGGCAATTCGAATAGCTGGTCTGAGAAGTTTATGTCTGCGGGAGCTAAAGATGTGCTTATCAATCTGTGGCACAGGCAATTCCCACCTATACGATGGGGGTCTTCAAGTTACCGTTCTCCTTATGTGATGATTATATGTAACATCCTGAAAATGTGTCATTTTCTAATCCTGCATCATGCCTCTTCTTATGTTCTTAATAACTTCCTAAACCTAGGACAATATAATTAGAGGGACCTCCTAAAACTAATTCACACAAAACCTCTTTGGAATTTAAGTTATTTTGTGTTTTTCATTCAAAATACATGTGGTTAAATTGAGGTATTTCTTGATTTGGTTTAAAACCTTCTTTTGACTAAAATTTCCTTTATTCAAATTTAGTTTGAAAATCTTTTTTACTTTTATGAATTATGGTCCAAGAAATCCTCCAACACTACCCTTGAACCTAAACCAAAGTAAATCCAATTTTCTTGGAATTAATTGTTAACCCATCCCTTTGATCTTACACCTATCCTTGATTCTTGACCCAAATTCCTCCTTTCGATCCAGCTGCCAATTTAATTCCTATTGGCTTGATTTCCTCCTTGGCACGAGAATAATATTTTCTGAATAATTACTCTTGTGCTAAGAAAAATAGATTTTTATCTTATTCCCCTCCTCCAAATTAATCCCCTATTAGCCACAAAGATTTCTCTAAATATCTGTACTATCAGTTTTAGGATTCAAATCCTATTTATCCTTGCCTCCAACTATTTTCCTATTATATTCCCAAAAATATATTGGGGAAATCATATTGTTAATTCCCCCTATCATTTGAGTGCTTTGATATTTAGTCCACTATATTCTATCTCTTGAAATAGTACACTCAAAAATATTTCTTTTGGGAATTATCTCCAGATACAATTTCCTTTCAATTTCCTATTCAATCTCCTCCAAATCCAAATCCTATTCAAAATTTAGAAAATCATCTATTTTATTTAAATTGGACCAAAGTCTTCTCCTTTCTTCCTTTTGGCCCAATTGGCCAGGGTCGGCCCAGCCAAGCCCAGCCGGCCAGCTGAGCCGACGCCTATCTTCTCCCGTGGGCGCACAGGGTGCACAGGCCGTCGCCGCGGCTTTGCCGCCGCCGCCGCCCCCAACTTCTTGCTGCCGCTATCGCTTTGCCGTCGACGCGAAGAAATCACCGCCCAATGTCAGCGCCACCTCACGCCATCGACGTCAGCCGCCGAGCCGAACCGCCTTCGCCGGCCAATCAACAAACAGAACGAGCAACGTGCTCGTCTTCTCCACGTCACCGCAGCCGTTTTGTCCTCCTCTAAGCAACCGTCACCGTGGCCAATCCGTCGACTGCCTCCGGAACCGCCATTGACCACCGCCCTTCGCCGCTTATAAACGGCGAGGCCCTCTCTTTTCCCCCACACAAGCCGAGCTCCTCGAGCTCTCTCTCTCTCTCTCTCTCCTCCCATGTCCGGCCGTCATTGCCGTCGGCCGATCTCCTTCACCATAGTTCCACAACCCAAACCCTCGTGCCATCGGCTTTGCCTCGGCGAGGTGAATCCGTTTTTACGCTTTCCCCTCTCCTTTAGCCACCGCCACAAACCATCACCACCACCATCCACGCCGGTCGTGGCTAAGCTTCTGCTATCGCCGTTCCGGCCATCTCTCTCTCTACCTGCACTTGCCACCGACCTCCCCGGATGTGCAGCGAGCGGGAACACACTTAGCCGCCGCCGTCGAGGCCGTTCCACCATTGGAGCACTGGCGCCCCTCTCTCTCTCTCTCTCTCTCTCTCTCTGCTGTTACACGGGAAGAAGGAACAGAAGAAAGGAATCGGGAGGAAGAAGAAGAAGAAGAAGAGAGATAAAAAGAAAAAGGACAGCTACTGACAGGTGGGCCCCTACAGTACTATTTCACATTTTCTAGATTTAATTAATTCAAAATTCAATCTTTACAAGCCCATATCTGCTAAACCGTTGATCCGCTTCCAGTAAAACTTGGACCTAAATTCATCTAAATTCAAACCCTACCTTTCGACACCAAATTTGCTATTTTAATATTTTATTTGAATTTATTCAAATACTGTTTGAATTTATATTTGCCTTTTCAAATATTTTCTTTTATTTCCAAAATACCCTTTAGCCACTAAAAAGCCGCCGGTTAGAACTTTACACCTTCCATGGGGACGTTTGTGGTCTACTAGCTAACGTCGAACCGTTGGTTGTAAAGTCCGGCAAAACCCAAACCAAAGGTCAAAGTGCTGCTCCTAGCATCCCACGGCTTGATGCGTATAACGATCGGAGCTTCACTATTCCCTCGACCTCCAAAGCACATCGCACAGTTCGCTCTCGAACTCATTGTGATCCTAGCCGCTCTGCCACCACTCACAGTTGTTGGAGTAACACCTTCGCCCTACTAAACCTATACCCACCCCTATTCCTCTAGCCGATATACTGTCTTCTGACACCGGCTAGAGAAGATACCAAACCTAGTCGTTATGCTACCCAACTCTAGCAACGACTAGCAAACACCTAAATTCTAGCTGATATTTATCCTACCTTTATCAGCTTGCTATCTAGACTCCACACTAGCTATAATATCATCACAACCATTTACCCTTCAACTACCCATAGCCTATACATGAAATACAAGCCGATATGCTATCCTATTTCAGCATCGACTCGAGAACAACTAAATCCTAGCCATTCTTCTACCAAAGCCCAACCTCGACCAATACTAGCCACATATCTACTTAACCAGTTAGATTATTCGGTATATCTCCTACTCTCCAAGAAACCAAAACCCACACAACAAATATAAGCGACAATTGTTGCTTAATCTCCTATCCACCTTAGTCTCCAACCCTTTAGAACTTGCACATAAAATATTAGCCCAGTAATCCCTATACCATATAGAAAAGATAGATTATACCCTAAACCCTAGCCTCCGAGCTATTTATCACTTTCTTGCTATTTTATGGCTTTTATTGAATTTGGCTCTTCCTCTTCTTTAGTAGAGTCTATTTTATTTTGGAGGCAACCTGTGGTATTTCGAGGATTGGATAATCAGGTTGCCTATCTCAGAATTTATTTGCGTTGGAGCAAGGCAAGTTATTATTCCTCCCCTTTGAGCATAATAATCCTATATTCTATATCTCTATTATTCCATGCATTAGACAAACATGATTTTGAATGCATAACCTGAACATAGCAAACTAGATATATGCTAGCTTTGCTTAGCCCTGCCTAGTTAGATTATGCATAAAATTTAATAAACTTAGATTGGGACAGTACGGTAGAAATGGTTGATTTCCGGGTGGCTAGTACTGTTCCAACCGACATAAAACTGCCAAGTACATGTGAAGAACATACGAGTACGACCGCAATTCTCGTATGGGCATAGACCTAGTTGATTAAGTTATCTAGCAAAAGTGGTACCTCTGTATAGTGGTTCTTAAATCCTCGCGCAGGTGGCAAATTTACGCCGAGCAGGGCGATTGTGATAATTTACTGTGGCGCAGGTAAATATATGAGATGAATTGTGCACAAATTGTTTGTGAACCCTGATTGCGATGACATGGTGTCATACAATCAGTTCTCTCTAAAGACCTCGGGAACGCCAGAACTCCTCACGTTGCTGATAACGTTACGTTCAGAGCGCATGGGGACTAGAGTTCATGGAACAGGTACCACTGATGTTAGTAACTAAAAAGCTTTGCCATGACAAGGCTAATGTGTTTGGCACGTCATGGATTGCGGGTAATTCCTAGCCCAAAAGCACCTGGTAATGACATTGACGTATACTTGCAGCCATTAATTGATGAGTTGATGCAATTGTGGGATGGTGTGGAAGCAAATGATGCTTCCTCAAAGGAGACTTTTAATTTACGTGCTGCTTTGCTTTGGACAATTAATGATTTTCCAGCATTTGGAAACTTGTCTGGCATGAGCACAAAAGGTAAATATGCATGTCCTTCATGCCACACTGAATCCTGCTACCACAGACTTGTTAATGGGCACAAATATTGTTATACGGGACATCGCCGCTTCTTGCCGAGGCGACATGCCTGGAAGAATAATGATGCTTCTTTTGATGGCCAAAAGGAAAAGCGAAGCGCTCCAAAACCATTGTCAGAAGATGATATTATTTCTCAGTTTGAGAAATTTGAACAGGTTATTGCTTCCATCTTATTATTGAAACTTTTTGTGTGATGGTTCTAAATTAAAAAATCAAACTATGCACGATGATTTACTTACTAGATGTGACATGATAATACTATTAAATTGATTTTGAGGATAGTTTGTCCCTGATGCAAATTTAGATACAGAATAATTTATTTGTCTCATTGGTTTGGATATTAAGCTTTCATGCCCCTTCACTATGACTAATCTTTTTATAGAACTATGACTAACCATATGAATTTGGTTTTATCACCTTACTATTGCTGCCACATGTTTATTTCAGGTGAAGTTTGGGAAATCTGGGAAGAAAAGAAAACGCTCTAGTACATTGTATGGTACTTGGAAGAAAAAGAGTTTTTTTTTTCCAACTCCCATATTGGAGCAAGCTGACTATAAGGCATAACCTAGATATCATGCACATTGAGAAGAACATTTGCGATAGTATCCTTGGCACCTTGCTAAATCAAGATGGCAAGACAAAAGATACAATCAAATCTCGCTTTGATATGGAGCTCATGGGAATACGTCCTAAACTTCATGCAACTCCAACCAGTGATGGTAAATATATATTCCACCTTGCTTGCTACACCATGTCTTCACATCAGAGAAAAGCATTTTGTGAATTTCTTACACATATCAAGGTCCCAGATGGTTATTCTGCAAAGATATCTCATTATGTAGATGCAAAAAATTCTAAAATATTTGGGATGAAGTGCCACGATTGTCATGTTTTTCTACATAGGTACCTTCCATTGTCAATCCATGGCGTGTTACCAGTAGATGTATTTGAGGCAATAATTGAGTTGTGCAACTTTTTCAGAGAACTTTGCTTCAAGAAGTTAGACATGGAGCTCCTTAAAAAGCTAGATTCCTCCATTGCGGTAACTCTGTGCAAATTTGAGAAGATATTTCCTCCTTCACTGTTTGATATAATTAGCTAGTCCCCAGGAATGCGACTAGCCTCACACTTTCATCGCAAGCAATTAATAAACATAGCAAGTACCATAATAGGGTTAAAGTGCAGCGAGGTACATGACACATAATAGGGTCCGAGGTCCCAACATACAACACATAAATATAGCAGTGGAAGTCTCAATTAGAGTTCATAAGCAAAAGATAAAACCGGTGGTGCCACAACTCCGCTAGGGCAAACCAACCGGGCAAGAGCCAAGCCGCAAGAGATCACTCATTGCCCTCGCCGCCCTCGGTAGAGCAATGACCACACAAGAAGCATAACTCAAAACCGGATTCCTCTCCTGAAATTGCAGACACCGGGTTAAGTACAAGAATGTACTCGCAAGTCTTACCCAAAATTATATATACATAAGGGAGAGAGAAGTATGCAAGTTTTCTAGCCTATAGGGGGTCTCTAAGTTCAACATTTGCATAAAGCTAATTTTATTGAGCAATTAATGAGTAAAATAAGCAAGGACAAGTAAATCTAGCATCATTTTAATTTTTGGACAGCAAGTATATAATTCTGAAATGTATAAGCAAATGAACCCAAATGGCGCTCTCATCATCAACCATGGACCACCAAAGTCCATACCAACATGGCACAACATGCCAACACCACCATCAAACATAATCCCATCCATAATAATCCATATTTGATGCTAACATGAGTGAGATACACATCAAGCAATGTCCATAACTGAGGACGCGGCTATTCGAATAGATTATACTCTGATCAGAGGTGTACAACAGGACCCACACGAAATGAACAAAGATCAAATGCTACACACCCCGTCGAGTGCGGTACACAAGTGATTCAAGCTCATTACAAGTCCTTTCTTAGCCCCTCCCCAACCACCTATACCACGCTGGGGTTCCCGATGACTTAGTCACGTGCGTGCGTAATGTGACCAAGGCGGGCGCGCCACGCGGGAGGCACCCCCGGCCAACATAGGCACCCGAGGCCCTCCAAAGGGCTACCTGCCCTCATGTCTCTCCAACGTGGTATAAATGATCACAGTAGAACTAGTAAAGGACAAGCCGGTCCCAAATAAGGCATGTGGTAAGTACGAAGGGTGCTTGAATAGATGTCAAAATGTTCGGTCCTTAACGACTTAGATGGGGCTACTTGCATCAGAGGAAAACCAACCTCCCTTCATCGTCCTATCACCCGTCCAAGTCCAACATATTTCTTTGTCACGTCCTGATAAATTCATCCCGAAATAAAAATCATTCTCTAAAAGGAATAATAGAATTAATTAAAATTTGAAAAGAAATTGGCAACGTTAAAATGCGTTCAAGAAAAATTCGAATGTGGCCCGGAGAATTTTTGTTAAATTCTCCTTGGTCTAAAAGGAGCCCTCAAATTTTACTTGAATTTTCAGAGCACCGGAAATAATTACTAAGCAACAACAACAACTATCAAAGTTTATTAAAAAGAAAAACTAAAAATAATCCCCCTCCTCCCTTTGGGCCAAGTCTGGCCCAAAGTCCTCCATCTCTCTCCCTCGGCCCAGCCCAAAGTCCTCCCTTCCTCCCTCTTTTTCTCTCCCTCTCCTTCTCTCCCTCCTTCTCTTGGGCCTCCCCTCCCCCTCCCGGCCCATTCCCTTTTCCTCCCCTCCCGCCTGGGCCGCCTCCCGAGCCCCCCCACCCTCACGCGCGCCGCACGCGCGTCTCCAGCGGGTCCCGCCTGTCGGACCCGTCGTCCTCCTCCCGCCCGGCCTCCTCTCTCTCCCGAACCCTAGCGTCGATTCATCCCTCAAATCCGCTCGATTCAAATGACGAATTCCAAAATTGATTGCGGGAATTAATCCCCTTTCCCTCCCCTCTCTTTCCCCCTTAATGCCCCCTTGATTCGTGCTTTTAATCACCCGGAACGCCCGTGCCAATCCCGGCCGCTTTCCATGGCCGCCGGCCGACTTTTCCACCGCCGTTCCCACCTCTCCCGTGCCCGGCTCCCTCCCCCATCCTATAAAATGGAACCCCCTCGCTCCGTTCTATCGTTTTAGCACCTTCCCGAGCTCCCCCGTGGCCGCACCACCTCTCCCCGCCTCCTCCTTCTCTTTCCTCGGTGCCGGCCACCCTCCAGCCGCCTGTGCTGCCTCGCCCGTGCGGCAGCTGACGTCGCCATCGCCTTCCCCGGCACTGCGACGCCATCCTCCTCCCCGGCCTCCCCGTATCCTCGCCAGAAACTCGCCGGATCGGTGTCCTCGTCGACGTCCGGTGGCGTTGCCGCCACTGTACCGCCCCAGCCGCCTATGCCGCCTCGCCGGTGCGTCGGCTGTCGTCGTCACCTCCTCTCCCGGCACAACAGCGCCGTCCTCTTCCCCGGCCAGGCCACTGCGTCACCCGAATTTCGCCGGAACACCGCCGTGCCGCGCCGGCCTCTCCATCCGCCTCGCCGGAATTTCCCCGGTCGGCCCTTCCTCCACCCATGCGCCGTCGGCCGCGCCACCACCACCTCCGGCATCGCAGCGGTGAGCCGGCGACGTCGTCCTTGGCTTCGCCTCCCCTTCAGCTCAACCTGCCGGCGTTCGTCGTCGCCTCCTCGCCGGTTCCCATCGTCGTCCTCCCGTCATTCCCGGTAGTCGTGGTGTTCGTCCCTCCGTCAAGCCGTGCTGTTCGTCGCCCGCCTTTGGTCAAGGTTGCTGCAGCCCCGTCGTCGTCTTCGTCCTCGGCTCCGCGTCGTCAAGCGTTGCGCCGGCCGCGTCTCGCCTTCGTCCAAGGATCGCCGCCGAAGTCGTTCCCTCGCCGTTCGCCTCGGTCGTCCCCAAGCCGTCTCCGCCGCGCCCGTTCGTCGTCGTTGTTCCCACGCCTCGTTGCGTGGTGGTAAGGGTCTCTCTTCTCGCTGCCCCATCCTCGTTCTTTCGGTGTCGCCCCGTGCGCGTTGTGCGGTTGTCGACCCCGGTACTCGTGTACCGGTGTCGGTAGTCGATCGTGTGTGCGTGTGGTGACCTGTTAGTGTGCCCGCTCGGTAGCCGCGTGGTTTCCACGTGTGCAGGCCGCGTGGTGTCTAGTGGAGTCCGTTTGTCGGCCACTTGCCTCGGTTGACACACGGGGTCCGCTTCCGTCGACCCGTGGACCGTCTCTGTGTACTCGGTCTACCGCGGTCCTTTACGTTGACATGTGGGGTCTGCATGTCAACAGCGCAGCCTTCCTGTCTTTTCCAGGCTAGCGCTTACACATGTTTTATAGTTGTAAAACCTAATTACAATAATTCGTAAATCTCCATATAACAGCATTAAACTTCGGATGATCATATCTTGATCATACGAACCCCGAATCGACCCGTTCAAGTCTCCTAATGTTTGTTATAACCTAAAGAACCATGTGCTTTCTTTTTATGTATTGTTATTGCTTCTTTATAGGCTTGTAGCTTTGCTTGTGTGTTTCGCGTAGCTTCTGTCGTTCTGGAGGTTTCTGAAGCGTGGTTCGCGGTCGTCGCCGAAGGTTCGGAAGGCCGTTCTCTATGAGCAAGGCAAGTCGCATCACCCTTGAGCATATTGAATCCCAGTTTATAAAATTATTTTGATTTAAATTATTGCATTACCGCATTACTTAAATTCTCGCGTTATCACTGTTTTATTTAGCCATGCCTATTTACCTTTGTTATGACCTTATTATTATTGCTATAGTTATTATTACCTTGTTCACCCTAGGATAAACAAAACCCCAACTAGTGGGTACTCTATTAATGGTTCCACTAGTATGAATTTAGGTAGATGCTTCGCTGATTAATTAGGCAACACTAAGTGGTTTTATAACTTTAGACTTTGGGAGTTCTCATATCATTTGGACACTATGGAATGGTTGGCTTGTGATGGAATTGAACACACACCTCCCCCCCTCTATTCAAAACTCCCAAAATGGTTTTAGGCTGGGCTCGAGGTGCATGGTTCTGCTAGTAGCACCTCGGCCACTATAAGGACCGGTCTTCGGGCCTCTGTTGCAAAGCACTACCGTACTAACCACATGTCTAATGGGTAAGGCTTAACTCGGTGCTCAGTCTAGTCCTGGCAAGAGTACACGGATGGAGATGGACGAAGTCGGGGCTCGATGGACATCTCTAGGGCAAATGAAGACTACACGGGCTGCGGCTCGGTAGTCGAGATATCATGGCACATGGTCGGTGTCCTGCTGCTAGGGGCTCAATCTTACCTACCTGTCTCGGGATTCCGGCCGTAGGCGAGGTTGGGTCGGTGCTTTTGTCATGGCTAGGATGGGTAAAGGGGTTATGTCACATCTTTTACGATGGGTTCCACGGCCGTGGAATGCGGAGTAAAGATGTGTCTTGTGGGTTTTAGAGAAATCATAGGTTCTATATGCTTATTAGGTGCTTGCCTTGCTGCTGAGGGTAGTCACTATCCTCCTCGGGATATGGCTCGTTACTCTCCAGAATCTCCGAATCTATCGAAAAGAAGCAATATGCGAATAAGAGCCAAATAAACATGTACATGCAATATGATCAATAAATTATGAAATAAATACAGTGGGTAGATCATATTTTAACTTGAATTTAGGTGAAAGAACCACCAGATAATCACTTATGGTTTGGGAGATATGAAAATGACAAGGTCTCAGGTGCTGAAAATGGCAGTTCTGTAAATATTAATGTTTCCTTTAGAGCATTTCAAGCAACTTGCAACTCAAACCAAGCTTTCATAATAATGATTATTTTTAGAGTAAAGTATATCACTCACAGGTCCTAAGAAAAAATATTTCACAGCTGTATGTTGTCATTATATATATATGGGTTTTACAACTTAAAAACATAGGAATGCTAAATAAACTCCTAAACATGATTTAAGAGGTAGTTTTGCCAAAAACAACACCACAACAGCAAAGAGTACTAAAATATAAGCTAAAAAAAATTGGTTTCACAATTTTAGCTTTTACCAATAATTTCTTACGAATTTATTAAGAGCTAGACCACACAAGGGATACATATAGCTATTTATATTTTTACTGGGAAAACCAGTACAAAAGTTGGTCATTTTTATTTTGCAACATTGAATATAACGTTTTTCTTAATCCACAAAAATTTGGTTCATTGAATTCGGAGTTCACATGGCAGCAACCTGGACGTAGGGTCGTGCGAGACTAAGGCCTCGGGCTGATGGCAAGAGATGGAGCAAGTCTTGGGCTGACGGCAAGAGACGTTGCCTAGGGCTGCTTCAACCGAAATCAAAAGAGATGAACTCGGGGTGAGTTGCAGCCACCTTCTAGCTGCAGCAATGGAGTGGACAACCTATAGAACGTTGCTATAGATGTTCAACATGGAGGGAATTCAAAAGAGGCACTACGGATGAAAAGGAAGCTCACCAAATGGAGGAAAACAAAATGCTGCTGCTGCAGCCCTGCAGGCTGAAACCACCACTCTTTTATTCCTTCTCGATCTCTCTCAACTCTCCATGCATGTGCAAGATGTTGGGATGGATGGAAAGCTTGGATGATGGGGATTGTTGTGGTCTAACATGCAGAGCTTGAGTTTGGGCTCTTAGATGGGATTTGGGGAGGAGAAGTGAGCTGGGAGCTCAGCTTGATGAGGAAAAGAAAGAACAAGAGGGGAGGAAGAGGAAGGGGTTTTCCTCTGCCCACCTTATGTCCTGAGGTGGGGAGAACGCCCAAGGGTGGGTTTTGGGCTAAAAGGCACTCAAGGTCAGTGACAAGTGGGCCCAAGTCGTGGTGGTCTAAGAGGTAAGGGCTGGAATAGAGGTGGAACAAGAATTTGGGCAGATTTCAGGATTTTTCAGCAATTTTACACCATTTCCAATATGACACTCAGTTAGTTCAAGAAATAATAGTGATAGAATTTTATCCTTTGGTGTGGAGATAGACCTGGACACCTAGTTTCCATTTTTCAAAGTTTCACTCAAAAATTCGAAATATTTTAATTCTGGTGAAAAGATGAAATTGGTTAGGCTGAAAGTTGGTTTGAATTTTTAGGAGGCCAAAACAGAGAGCGAAAATTCCACAAAATTTATATTTGTTGGTGATAAATAAACTAGTATTTGAATAAATTATTACACATGTACACTTCTGTTCAAGTTATTGTTCAAATAGAAGTGGTTTCAATTTTACCGATTAGAGTTAATTTTGTTATCGCCTATGATCAAATTGCAAATATAGTAAATATAAAATCTAAAGGACAACAAATGCACTTCTAAATACCTGGTTATGAACCTAGGGCTGTTACAGCTCTTCCCCCCTTAAAAAGAATCTCGTCCCTGAGATTGCGATGGATCGGTGAGAAGAAAAGGGTAGGCATCACGAAGATGATCTTCGCGCTCCCAAGTGGCTTCATCTGGGGTATGATTACTCCACTGAACCTTAAAGAATTTGATAGTGTGCCTTCTAGTGGTGCGCTCAATTTCATCAAGAATGCGAATCGGGTGCTCTTGATAAGAAAGATCGGGTTGTAGGTCAAGATCTTCAATTGAGTTTCTTCAGTAGGAACTCGAAGGCATTGCTTCAGCTGAGAGACATGAAAGATATCATGGTAGGATGAGAGTGTGGATGGAAGGTCAAGTTGATATGCAACGGCTCCTCTTTTTGCAACAATGCGATAGGGACCAATATAGCGAGGTGCCAATTTTACTTTTACTCCAAAATGATGCGTGGACTTGAAAGGAGTAACTTTGAGATAAACATGATCACCAACTTTGAAAGACAACTCACGCCTACGACGATCGGCATAACTCTTTTGCCTAGATTGAGCGGTTCGCAAGCGATCGCGAATTAACCGCACTTGCTCTTCGGCTTCCATGACAATGTCCGGACCAAAAAATGGTCTCTCCCCAGATTCGGACCAGTTTAGGGGTGTTCTACATCTCCTTCCATACAAGGCTTCAAATGGTGACATTTGAAGACTAGATTGATAACTATTGTTATAAGAGAACTCAGCAAATGGAAGGCACTTTTCCCAATTTTTTCCATATTCCAGCACACATGCCCTCAGCATATCCTCAAGAATTTGATTAACTCTTTCAGTTTGGCCACCGGTCTGTGGGTGATATGCAGTGCTGAAAAAGAGTTTAGTTCCCATTGCTTTGTGGAGACACGAAATGATTTTTGTTGGAACACCATGAAGACACACGATGCGAGAGAGGTATAACTCCGCCAATTTACTCACCATGTCGGTAGAGTGAATAGGAAGAAAGTCAGTTGATTTTGTAAGACGATCAACGATCACCTAAATAGAGTCATTGCCTTTCTGTGATGTGGGTAGACCAGTGATGAAATCCATTCCGATTTCTTCCCACTTCCATATGGGAATAGGGAGAGGTTGGAGAGTGCCTGCTGGTCGTAGGTGTTCAGCTTTCACCCTTCGGCAAGTGTCGCACTTGGCAACAAACTATGCAACTTCCCGCTTCATACGGGTCCACTATAATTTTTGCTTTAGGTCTTGGTACATCTTGTTACTACCCAGATGGATTGAGAAAGGAGAGTTGTGGGCTTCACTAAGGATTAGTTGTTTCAGTTTGCGATGGTTAGGCACAACCAAGCGCTTACCGAACCATAAAACACCATTCGAATCTTGGGTAAAACACTGAGCCTTGCCTTCGACCATTTTAGCTCGGATTCGAGCCATACCTTTGTCATCTTTTTGGGCCTCTTTGATCTGATCATATAGAGTAGGTTTCACTTCTAGGGCAGCAAGGGAACCATGTGGTACCATTTCTAAACCAAGTTTATGAATTTCCGAACATAAGGTCTCCGATCGGGGTTTTACCGACAAGCAATTGCATTGCGGTTTTCGACTCAACGCATCAGCAACAACATTGGCATTACCCAGGTGATAATGTAGACCCATGTCATAATCCTTGATGAGTTCTAACCACCTTCTTTGCCTTAGGTTCAGATCTGATTGGGAGAAGATATATTTCAAACTTTTGTGGTCGGTGTAGATTTCGCAACGGTTACCGATAAAATAGTGGAGCCATATTTTTAGTGCATGAACAACAACGGCTAATTCAAGGTCATGGGTTGGATAGTTCACTTCATGAGGTCTCAATTGACGAGATGCATATGCCACAACTCGGCCTTCTTGCATAAGAACACAACCGAGTCCTTGACGAGAGGCATCGCAATAGATGTCGAAGCTTTTGTGTGTATCGGGTAGGAAAAGAATGGGAGCAGTGGTTAACTTTTCTTTCAAGGTCTGAAAACTTTGCTCACACTCAGCTGACCACACATACTTCTCATTCTTCTTCAATAATTGGGTCATAGGCTTAGCAATTTTGGAGAAATTCTCGATAAACCGACGCTAGTAGCCAGCTAGACCAAGAAAACTCTGGATGTCGGATGGATTTTTGGGTTGTCCCCAATCTAACACCTTTTGAACATTACTTGGATATACAGCAACTCCACCTTTGGATAATACATGGCCAAGAAATCCAACTTCTTTTAACCAAAACTCACATTTGCTAAACTTGGCATACAAATGGTGTTCGCGTAATTTTTCCAACACAAGACGAAGGTGCTTTTCATGTTCTTCTTCGGATTTGGAGTAGATGAGGTTGTCATCAATAAAAATAACCACAAACTGATCAAGATACTCCATGAAAATCAAATTCATCAAGCTCATGAAGTATACCGGTGCATTGGTCAAACCAAAGGACATGACGGTGTACTCATATAGACCATAACGGGTAGAGAAGACTATTTTTGGTATATCTTCTGGTCTGATTTTTATTTGATGGTAGCCCAATCTCAAGTCAATTTTCGAGAACACATGAGCGCCGGTTAATTGGTCGAAGAGATCATCAATTCTAGGCAGTGGATATTAGTTCATGACGGTGACTTCATTCAACGGACGATAATCAACACACATCCGCAAGCTAAGGTCCTTCTTTACAAAGAGAGCCGGACATCCCCAAGGTGAGGAGCTTGGCCTAATGAAACCTTTTGCTTGTAGCTTCGTGAGTTGCCTTTTCAATTCTTCTAGCTCATTTGGAGGCATACGGTATGGTCTTTTAGAGATTGGAGCCGTTCCGGGCAGCAAATCAATCACAAATTCAACTTCCCGATCCGGCGGCATTCCTGGTAGTTCCTCTGGGAAGACATCGGGGTACTCACACACCACTGGTACAGCAGTTATATCAATGGCTTTGGCGCCCGAAAGAGCATGGAGTTGTGGGGAATGATCATCAAGTGCAAGAAAGATTAGTTCGCCGGTATTATTTTCTAGTGTAACGAGACGATGACCACAATCGATAACCCCATGATTTTTGTGCATCCAATCCATGCCTAGGATGACATCTAAACCCTTTGTGTGGAGGATGGTAAGTTCGGCAGTAAATTCTACCCCTTGTATAGCTATCTTTGTGTCCCGACTAATAAATTCAGCTATGATTTCTGAATCGGGTGATGTAACAATTAAAGGTGGGTGCAACCTACTAATTGGGAGTTTATGGTCTGATGCAAAACCTTTGGTGACAAAAGAATGTGTAGCTCCAGAATCAAACAACACACTAGCTGGGTATGAATGGACAAGTAGCGTACCAACAAGAACATCCGGTGCATCGTTCGCCTCCTCGGCTGTGACATGGTTCACTCTACCCCTCTTCTGAGTTTGCTGACCCTGAGGTGCTGATCTGAGAGGTGGATTAGGACGTGGTGCTGCTGGTCTTGGTCCTTGGAGTTGTGCACGATGAGGGTACGGGCATTGGTTGATGTAGTGGCCCGCTTGCCTGCAATTGAAGCAGTTGTTGGAGCGAACGGGCCGGCGAATAGTTTGCTGATTTCCACCCACGGGAGGCGCGACACGCTGCTAAGGAGGGCGTGGCACGAATCTTTGTGGACGAGGAGGTGGTGGTGCTTGAAAACGCGGAGGGGGCGGCTGCCAACCACGGGGTTTTTGCGAACCACCCGCGGCTGAAATCTGCGCAGCCTTCTTGCGCTTGCGCTCGGCCTCGAGGTTCTTCATCTTGCTTTCCACGACCACGGACCTGTTGACGAGGTCCTGAAAGTCCAGAAAAGAGTGTGCAGCGAGCTCGAGTTGCATCTCCGCCGACAACCCGTTCATAAACCGATTTTGCTTGCGAGTGTCGGTTTTGACATCATCCGGAGCATAGCGAGCTAAGTGGTTGAACTCGCAGAGATACTCCATGACGGACTTGTTGCCTTGAGTGAGAGATAGGAACTCACATTGTTTGAGGTCCATAATACCCTTCGGCACATGGGCAGCACGAAAAGCATCCCGAAATTGAGCCCAAGTGACGACACGGCCGTCGGGTTGCATGGCGAGAAAGTTCTCCCACCAATCACCGGCTGCGGCTTGGAGTTGCTCGGCTGCCAGGTTGGTCTTCTCGGCGTCGGGGCAGCGAATAAGAGTGAGCTTCCGCTCGATGGTGCGAAGCCAATCATCAGCATCAAGTGGATCATCGGAGCGAGTGAACACCGGAGGTTGAGTACGCTGAAATTCAGCAAGTCCCCCGGCGGCATGGTGTCCACCACCGCCCGCCCCTTGGGCAATGTGGGTAGCGGTAGCGGCTGCACTTGCTGCGATTTGCTGAAGGACGGCGTTTTCAGCCTCACGGTTGCGCTCCACGGCCATAAGAACCTCAGCCATGGTAGGAGGAGGTGGCGGTTCATCACCACGGCTTCGGGAACCCTCTGGAGCATCATGGGATTGAGAGCGAGTGCTGGGACGAGTCATCCTATGGATATGAGATTAAACATAATTAGTGATGGGAGCAACTAAGGATTGATAATGGCCTGAAAGTTAGCACGCATCGTACATGATAAACTAAGTTTAGGTTACCGACTTAATATGAATGCACAATACAAACGCATGCGAAGCTAAGTCTATGTTTGCATAATTAATTTCAATGCACAATAAAAATGCACAATTCAATTATATACAAATGTGACAAGTTATGTTAGCATGATATGATGCAACCAAATAAGAAGCATTAAGAATCAATTGAGCTCATCCTATACTAAAGCTCGAACAAGAAGCAATAAACCAAAATAGTTTTCCAATTGTGATCAACATAGCGGGCCAAAAGCGTATCAATCGCCGGAACATGAAAATTCAAATAAACCAACACTGCAACTTGGCCGCTACTGCTATATGACACATTTCTATCGAGTGTCTCTCAGCTGGGAGTACACTTTTGCAATCTATTTGGTCGAATTTTTGAGTTGGTATATTTTACATCTTCCGAAACAAGGTTCTGAAATTTCTCAGGTTGCCGAACAGCAGCCACTTTACGAATTTTTAGAGAGGGCTACAGAAGTGATAAAATTCTGAACATTTTTGTGGTTGTTCCTGGAGTAGTTGCCCAGCTCCAGAAAAATTTTGACAGCAAAATAGTGAGTAGTTTGTCCTGGAGAATTATTTGATTACAGACTGTTCCAGAAATTCCAGATTTGGCTATTTGAGATTTTGGAGGTTTAAAACATGTTCATAATTTGTCAAAAAATTTGGGGAGACTAAGAGAAACATGAGGAACAGCAAGGCACCATTTTAGAGTGACTATTGCACATTTTAATTGTACTTACAAACTGAGAATAAATTTTAATTCCCTCAACTTATCGGGTGCATTATCGGTCTAATATTTGAATGGGAGAAGTAATAAATTTATTTTGTCAACCAAATTAGACCAAGATGAGTGGAAAATCTAAGAATAAGGTGAGAAAGAACACTAGAATAAAATGAGGAGTAAAAAAGATTCACACATACTAAGATTTTCACAATCGACTCAAGTTGAATATTTTGCAAATCATTTTCAAATTGCCAACTTAGCTCTAGTCTACAGTCGGCATTGCTCTGATACCAACCGCTGTGGACACCCCGAGTATTATACCATCCAGTGTCCAACGCGACCACCACATACTATTGGAGAAGTGGGATCCATACACGCATAAATAGCCACTCGTCCTCAATGTGTCCATGATCGCGGTTGACAACCTTCTGTTATAATAACCGAAATGTCGAGTAGTGAGCGCAAGACATAACCGTAAGATAGCTTGCCAGTCCACCACATCATATGCCCGTCAACCACTCGAAGGTGGCGACCAAAAGCATACCCCAGTGACTCGATCCAAAGTGCTATCCCCAATTATCTCAAGCGATCAAAACCCGTTACTCATGCTTAGCTAGTCCCCAGGAATGCGACTACCCTCACACTTTCATCGCAAGCAATTAATAAACATAGCAAGTACCATAATAGGGTTAAAGTGCAGCGAGGTACAAGACACATAATAGGGTCCTAGGTCCCAACATACAACACATAAATATAGCAGCGGAAGTCTCAATTAGAGTTCATAACCAAAAGATAAAACCGGTGGTGCCACAACCCCACTAGGGCAAACCAACCGGGCAAGAGCCAAGCCGCAAGAGATCACTCATTGCCCTCGCCGCCCTCGGCAGAGCAATGACCACACAAGAAGCATAACTCAAAACCGGATTCCTCTCCTAAAATTGCAGACACCGGGTTAAGTACAAGAATGTACTCGCAAGTCTTACCCAAAATTATATATACATAAGGGAGAGAGAAGTATGCAAGTTTTATAGCCTATAGGGGGTCTCTAGGTTCAACATTTGCATAAAGCTAATTTTATTGAGCAATTAATGAGTAAAATAAGCAAGGACAAGTAAATCTAGCATCATTTTAATTTATGGACAGCAAGTATATAATTCTGAAATGTATAAGCAAATGAACCCAAATGGCGCTCTCATCATCAACCATGGACCACCAAAGTCCATACCAACATGGCACAACATGCCAACACCACCATCAAACATAATCCCATCCATAATAATCCACATTTGATGCTAACATGAGTGAGATACACATCAAGCAATGTCCATAACTGAGGACGCGGCTATTCGAATAGATTATACTCTGATCAGAAGTGTACAACTGGACCCACACGAAATGAACAAAGATCAAATGCTACACACCCCGTCGAGTGCGGTACACAAGTGATTCAAGCTCATTACATGCCCTTTCTTAGCCCCACCCCAACCACCTATACCACGCTGGGGTTCCCGACGACTTAGTCACGTGCGTGCGTCAGGCGGGCACGCCACGCGGGAGGCACCCCCGGCCAACATAGGCACCCGAGGCCCTCCAAAGGGCTACCTGCCCTCATGTCTCTCCAACGTGGTATAAATGATCACAATAGAACTAGTAAAGGACAAGCCGGTCCCAAATAAGGCATGTGGTAAGTACGAAGGGTGCTTGAATAGATGTCAAAATGTTCGGTCCTTAACGACTCAGACGGGGCTACTTGCATCAGAGGAAAACCAACCTCCCTTCATCACCCTATCACCCGTCCAAGTCCAACATATTTCATCAACCATTATTTAGTGTAAGTGCTCAAGTTTTATGCCCAATAATGCAAGTTGTCAAAATACCACAATTAATAGCATTGTCCATCCCTATAGTTCTATTAGCACCAAGCATGGCAAAGCATTAATGAATAAGGCATCCCAAGTAATCCCAACCAGTGGTAATAGGGTATAAGGACAGCAATATTACAAGAACTAAATGCATAAATAGGTTCTTCTAATACACCATAAACAGACAATATTAATATCTAGGCAATGCATGCATATATATACGTATAGATTGCAACCAAATCATTTTTAGAGAAATCATAGGTTCTATATGCTTAGGTGCTTGCCTTGCTGCTGAGGGTAGTCACTATCCTCCTCGGGATATGGCTCGTTTCTCTCCGGAATCTCCGAATATATCAAAAAGAAGCAATATGCGAATAAGAGCCAAATAAACATGCACATGCAAAATGATCAATAAATTATGAAATAAATACAGTAGGTAGATCATATTTTAACTTGAATTTAGGTGAATGAATCACCAGATTATCACTTATGGTTTGGGAGATATGAAAATGACAAGCTCTCAAGTGCTGAAAATGGCAGTTCTGTAAATATTAATGTTTCCTTTAGAGCATTTCAAGCAACTTGCAACTCAAACCAAGCTTTCATAATAATGATTATTTTTAGAGTAAAGTATATCACTCACAGGTCCTAAGAAAAAATATTTCACAGCTGTATGTTGTCATTATTTATATATGGGTTTTACAACTTAAAAACATAGGAATGCTAAATAAACTCCTAAACATGATTTAAGAGGTAGTTTTGCCAAAAACAACACCACAACAGCAAAGAGTACTAAAATATAAGCTCAACAAAATTGGTTTCACAATTTTAGCTTTTACCAATAATTTCTTACGAATTTATTAAGAGCTAGACCACACAAGGGATACATATAGCTATTTATATTTTTACTGGGAAAACAAGTACAAAAGTTGGTCATTTTTATTTTACAACATTGAATATCACGTTTTCTTGAATATCACGTTTTTCTTAATCCACAGAAATTTGGTTCACTGAATTCGGAGTTCATATGAATTAATTATGAATTTTTAAAGCGCATACCTCTTTCAGCTCAATAGCTATCTCAGAAATCGATTTCTATTTTCACTCCCCTTTTCTCCAACTTCCACCGGACTTCGCTCACATGGCAGCAACCTGGACGTAGGGTCGTGAGAGACTAAGGCCTCGGGCTGATGGCAAGAGATGGAGCAAGGTCTTGGGCTGACGGCAAGAGACGTTGCCTAGGGCTGTTTCAACCGAAACCAAAAGAGATGAACTCGGGGTGAGTTGCAGCCACCTTCTAGCTGCAGCAATGGAGTGGACAACCTATAGAACGTTGCTATAGATGTTCAACATGGAGGGAATTCAAAAGAGGCACTATGGGTGAAAAGGAAGCTCACCAAATGGAGGAAAACAAAATGCTGCTGCTGCAGCCCTGCAGGCTGAAACCACCACTCTTTTATTCCTTCTCGATCTCTCTCAACTCTCCATGCATGTGCAAGATGTTGGGATGGATGGAAAGCTTGGATGATGGGGATTGTTGTGGTCTAACATGCAGAGCTTGAGTTTGGGTTCTTAGATGGGATTTGGGGAGGAGAAGTGAGCTGGGACCTCAGCTTGATGAGGAAAAGAAAGAACAATAGGGGAGGAAGAAGAAGGGGTTTTCCTCTGCCCACCTTATGTCCTGAGGTGGGGAGAACGCCCAAGGGTGGGTTTTGGGCTAAAAAGGCACCCAAGGTCAGTGACAAGTGGGCCCAAGTCGTGGTGGTCTAAGAAGTAAGGGCTAGAATAGAGGTGGAACAAGAATTTGGGCAGATTTCAGGAATTTTCAGTAATTTTACACCTCTTCCAATATGACACTCAGTTAGTTCAAGAAATAATAGTGATAGAATTTTATCCTTTGGTGTGGAGATAGACCTGGACACCTAGTTTCCATTTTTCAAAGTTTCACTCAAAAAATCAAAATTTTTTAATTCTGGTGAAAAGATGAAATTGGTTAGGCTGAAAGTTAGTTTGAATTTTTAGGAGGCCAAAACAGAGAGTAAAAATTCCACAAAATTTATATTTGTTGGTGATAAATAAACTAGTATTTGAATAAATTATTGCACATGTACACTTCTGTTCAAGTTATTGTTCAAATAGAAGTGGTTTCAATTTTACCGATTAGAGTTAATTTTGTTATCGCCTATGATCAAATTGCAAACATAGTAAATATAAAATCTAAAGGACAACAAATACACTTCTAAATACCTGGTTATGAACCTAGGGCTGTTACAGTTATCGGGCATATGGACTCACTATGGCATCTTGGATAGAAACCTAATTCGAAATTTTATTAAATACTGTTGCATTTAAAACATTACAAGCTTTCTCCTTCCACTTTCTCAGCTTTCTGCAATTAAACCTAGCTCCACTCAGATAATATTTCATACATTCATATTTGATATAATAGCTTGCTGAGTACGTTGTACTCACCCTTGCTTCAACCCCTTTTTTTCAGAGTCCTTCTTATCGATGCTGGGAGTTCAATCATATAAGTTAGTTTCATTCTAACTTAATTCTCAATTATAGATTAGATAGATAGTTTAAGTCTATAGCAAAACAGCAGAGGTAGTCCATTCTAAAGCTTCTGCTGTAATAGTTAGACACAATCTTGTAAATACCCTATTACTTCATATAATAATATCTCCTTCAAAGCTATGCCTAGACGTATGCAAAGACGATCCAGATTATTGAACTTGTATCAATCTACTGATCCAGGGCTTGATACAGTCTAAACATGTCGGTTTCTGAATCATTAGTTTTGGGAGCCGACATTATACCAAAATGATCAGGGATTTTTGGTGGGGTGATGAGACCAATAAACGGAAAGTGCATTGGATCGCTTGGGAACAGCTAATTCTGCCTAAATTCATGGGAGGCTTGGGTTTTCGGGATATGAGGCTTTTCAACCAAGCTCTCCTAGCCAGGCAAGCTTGGCGCCTGATTCAGTTTCCGGATAGCTTATGCGCCAGGTTGTTGAAGGCTAAATATTTCCCTAACAGTGAGTTAATAGATGCTGTTTTCCTGGGTGACTCATCGGTGACTTGGAAGAGCCTGGAATATGGTCTTCAATTGCTGAAGAAAGGTCTGATTTGGCGTATTGGAGATGGGACAAAAGTAAGAATCTGGCATGATCGGTGGATACCGAGTGAATCCTCGCTTATGTTAGCTGGTGTTGCTGGAAGGTGTCGCCTTCGTTGGGTTTCCCAGTTAATAAAGCAAGATGATCGTTCCTGGGATGCGGATCTGATCTGGCGAATATGCAATCCTTTTGATGCCATAGAAATTCTCAAAATTAAACTGCCTCAATATCAGACAGGATTTTCTTGCGTGGCATTATGAAAAGTCAGGTCTCTTCTCTATTCAAAGTGCTTACAAGTTGGTGCTGCATGCTAGGCTTGATTCTAATCTTGGTTCTTCCAGCTCGGCTGCAAATGGTGAGCGCAGTATTTGGGGCTCCATCTCGAAAACACCGGTGCCCCATAAGATCAAGATTTTCGCTTGGAGGCTAGCTAACAAGGGTCTTGCTACTATACGAAATAGATGCTCCCGAAACCTGGAAGTTGATGCTACCTATCGTATTTGTGGTATGGAAGTAGAGGATGAGTTTCATGCTGTCATCTCATGTATGAGGGCGAGAGCTCTGAGGGAGTCTCTTCGTTCCTGTTGGAAGCTGCCAGCATAATACTTGCTGGCACGCACGGGCCCTGATTGGCTTTTGTTGATCCTTCAAGGCTTAACTCAGGATGTTAGAGCTTGTTTCTTGCTCATGTTATGGAGAGCTTGGTTCCACCGAAACGACATCTTGTTTGGCACAGGATAGGCAACCGTTGAGGAGAAAATTGCAAAATTGGGACTGCAAACTTTGGGGCTTCGCTGTTTTGACACTCCGAGTGGATGATAAATGGGCCCATCTGTGTCTATGAAATATGGGTCCAGTGTCATTATAGCAAAGCTTAATGTTTGCAGTGTCATAATTGCAAATCCCCCAGTGTTGAGAAAATTGCAAAATTGGGACTGCAAACTTTGGGGCTTTGCTGTTTTGACACTCCGAGTGGATGATAAATGGGCCCATCTGTGTCTATGAAATATGGGTCCAGTGTCATTATAGCAAAGCTTAATGTTTGCAGTGTCATAATTGCAAATCCCCCAGTGTTGAGAAAATTGTAAAATTGGGACTGCAAACTTTGGGGCTTTGCTGTTTTGACACTCCGAGCAAATTAAACATGAGGATGAAGGAAACCAGAACGGGAAGAGCTAAGTATCCAAGCAGGAAGGTAGAAGGGTGCAAACTGAAATCATTTGTCAACCAAATAGTTGGGCAAAGCCGCAGGTAAACTGGGCGAAAGTGAATACGGATGGAGCTTTTGTTCAGCAGACCGGGGAAGCCAGCCTGGGTGTTGTTATTCGAGATCATGGCAGTCAGGTCCTGCTCTCGGCCTGGAGGATCATCAGGCACTGCAGTTAGGCGGAGGAGGCTGAAGCCTATTCCTGTCTGGAGGGTATACACCTAGCGCTAAAATGGATTAACCTCCCGATTGTACTGGAAACTGATTGTGCCAATATAGTTCAAGCGATGAGGGGGCTGGATTCAGAGAGATGTCGTCTGTGGACGATTTTAAAGGAGGCCAAAGCAAAGTTACAGCTACTTCCCCAGTGCAAGATTGAGAAAGTTCATAGAGGAGGAAATTGTGTTGCTCATAAGCTAGCACAGCTGGCTCTTAGGTCGAAAGAGTGTGTAGTCTGGCGGTTCAAAGCTCCTCGGTGTGTGTCTGAGCTTCTGGATCGTGATTGTAAACCTCCTTAAGTTTTAATATAATCACTCTTTCCTCGTAAAAAAAAGGAATGAATACATAAGATAAGTTGGGGTTCCGAAGAACAAGCAGACGGACGGTCTAGCCGACACGCACGCTGCCAGCAAGTAGCAATGGCTAAACTTTAATCTAACAAAACCCCAGAAACCATGAAGGGGTACCTAACTATTTAAGGAGGTGGGAGGACGACCTATGGGGCCCTAGGGTCGTGATCCACCTGGTTGGGGCGCACCCCACATGGGCCCCACTTGGGCCGGGGTCCCAAATAAAGTTACAAGCCCATTGGCCCAATATAGGTGACGCAGAACCTTGTTTGTGTGATTGCAGCCAAACGAACTGGAATTCGGAGATGTGGCTGGTTCTATTGGAAATAGGACTCCGAGAGCTTTCCGTCAAGTACTCAAGGGCCAAAAACAGAGGTCCTATGCAGCTTTGGCGGCCCTTTGAAGTCAACAGTGCAGCAGGTGGCCGAATCGGATTCCAGCACTTGGAGGACTTGACCTTGATGACTTCTTGTTGATCAATGATGTGAGCAATGGTTGTATCACTGGTAGGCATGGTCACATCATCTTGCCATCTTTCGTCACTTCTAGCCTTGAATCACAATGAAACATCGTTGTATTGCATATTCTTCTTCGTAATCTTCATTGGTTCTTCATCAGACTAATCCCTTGCTTATACATTCAATAAGCGCATTAATCCCCTAATCGTTTGTCATCAATTAACCAAAACCCACTAGGGGCATAGATTCTCTTTCAAAGGGGAGGGGAGGTGTTGCTGCCCATTTATAGGCAGGGGAGGAGTGGAACGGCCGGGGGAGCTCACTGGCCGGCCATCAATGCCGGTAGTTCGCCGGAGATGAAAAGTCATCGATTCAAGGTGAGTTTGTACACAATTGAGTGGGAAATTATGGCAAAAATAAAGAGGAGGAAAGGAACCGACTTTTCTGATCAATTTGGTGGAGAATCGTGCGAGGAGGTGGATCAACTCGGCGGCGGCGCTAGGGTTCCGAACGGAGGAGAGAGAGAGAGAGAGAGAGAGAGAGAGAGAGGAGCAGTCAGCCGCTAGAGGTAGGGGACGACCTACAGTTGGGCTGGCTAGGCCGCGTCGAGGACGGACTTAGGTCCGATGGAGAGAGAGGAGAGGAAGTGGGTTGGCTTGGAGAAAAGAACGGGCTGGGAGAGGGAGATTGACCCAAAAGGGAGGGAGGGAGGGAGGGAGAGAAAGGCCGAGCGGGCCAGCGGGGAGGGAAAACAGACTTTGGGCCGTAAATGGCCCAAAGAGGAGAGATTTATTTTTAGGTTTTTCATTTAAATTTACTCCGAATTTGGTTTTTTTTGCTTTAAAATTATTTTGTTTGCTTTAAAAATTCAAGTAAAAATTGAGGAACCAATTTTAGAGCATGGAGAATTTAACAAAAATACTCCAAGCCACTTTCGGATTTTTCTGGGACGTATTTTAGAGCATCTCTAACAGATTAGCTATTTTGGACTCTCCAAATGTCCATTTAGCCAATGGCCAAAAAATTAGAGAGTCATATTTGCCTTTTACTCCAACAATCTCTCTATCCCACTCTCCAATCTTGATGGGTCCCACATGTCAGTCTCTAATTTCTTTTTCCCTTCCCTCTATCTTCCCCTTTTCCACGTGAGCCCACGGCGTGCGGACGAGGTGGCTGACGGAGGTGGTCGACGGAGGGGGCTGCCGTGCGGGGACGAGGCGACCGACGGCGCTAGAGATGCGGCGGACACGGCAACGTCGGCGGCGGCGGTGAGGAGACGACGAGGTTCCGCCATCGCTGGAGATGCGAGACAGAGAAAGGGGGACGGGAGCACGGAGGCTTCTCTCCGCCGCCGATCCGTCGCCATGCGTGCGGGCTTGCCCGGCGCCGGATTCGCGACGCGCGCCGCTCCCGACGCCGGATCCGCCGCGTGTGCCTATCCACCGCAGGCCCGAGGAGCCGAGCCGCCACCATCGCTCCTCCTCGTCGTCGTGGTGCGCCCGTCCACCGCAGGTCCGAGGAGCCGAGCTGCCGCACCACTCCTCGTCGTCGTTGTCGTGTGCCCATCCACCGTAGGTCCGAGGAGCCGAGCCGCCGCCACCGCTCCTCCTCGTCGATGAGTCGCCCCTCCTCGTCGCCGAGCTGCCGCTGCCGCTCATCTTCCTCGGCGGCGAGCCGCCCACTCATGCACCACGACAACGACGGCTGCGACTTGGGCTTTCCGGCGGGGCCAGAAGGGAGCGTGGTGGAGGTGCGGGTGATTGGCGTGGTGGTGGCTCGGCGATGGAGAGGAAAAGCATGAGTAGAGGAAGAGCTGAAGAGGAGAATAGCCAGCCTGGGAGACTAGCCAAAGTTGGCCAATGGATAGGCTTGATGGCTTGCAGAGTCAAATAGTGTTTTTGGCTTATTTGCCAAATTTTTGGCTTCGAGAGTTGAGTAGAGAGGCTGTTGGAGATGCTCTTAGTGTTTGAGATTTCTTTTAAGCTTTTAATAATTTCCTTTGTTCCTTTTAGAAAGTGATTTTTAAGTTGGGATGTATTTATCAGGGTGTGACATCGTCGGGGCTACTGTTTACTTCAGATGGATTCGACTTCCAGTTGATATAGCAATTATTTATCATATACATTAGGTAATCTAAAGTTGATAATATTGTTTAACGTGTGTTGGTTGATTTAAATTTGGGAATATCGATATTATATTAAATTATAGTGTTGTTTTAGATTAGTTAATGTATCTACCACCCTGAATAGCAAATATCAGTTTGTTCAGATCTATCAATTTTTAATATAGCTTGGTGTTGCATCAGTTAGGTTTGATATACTAAGTTATAGTCAAAGTTGTAAGAACTAACTTGCTCGATAATTGCTGATAGGGGTTGCATCGGAGTTTCAGCTGATCTTACATGATATAGGTATTTTAGGTTTAAGTTTGCATGTTCTTTCTTTACCTAATATGTTACATATATCCTCTTATGCAATTGTATCACACCTTGATATCTATTAAGTTGGCTATTGGTTTTGCTCTGTCTTGATTAAGTACAATCTGCTAAGAATATGGTTTGTTTAATAGATTTAACTATGTATGATATTTTTGCATAAGATTGTACCAGAGCTTTAGCCGATACATTATTTACCCGTAACCTAAGCAATCTCATCGGCTTTTTGTGTGAATCCATATAATTTTTAAATTATCTGATCTTTGTTGCCAGCAATTAATACTGTCTCGGTTGGGTCCGATCTATCATAATTGCTTGTATTAAAGAGAAAGATTGAATTAGTTATTAGGCATCACCGATGTTTACTACCTACTTTGTGAATAAGGGTGGGCCATACGTGTCGGGTCCCAAAACTAATAACTTGGATCCGACTGAGATTAATGTATCAATGCCTGGATCAGTAAATATTGATACATGTAATACAGCTGGTTCTTCATTGCATATGTTAAAGTTTACAATTCTAAGGGTTTTACAAGAATAGGTACTCACCTAATTAAACATAAGTACTAATATTACACAGCGGAAGTTCTAGTACATTCTGACTAGGAAGGTATAACCTCTAGGGATTTTCTAAGCTATCAGGGTCATCATAATAATAGTCATAGGGGTCTTCCTCTTGACCCAAATCTGAAAAAGGTTAATGAGAGCAAGGGTGAGTATTCACAATACTTAGCAAGCTACCATGGAAACATGTTATGCGTTGGCATAGAGTAGAGTTCTTTGCAGAAAGCAATAATAGACAATCTGGAAATATTAAAGCAAGAGTTTGTGAAATATATACTTTAGGTTTCTAACCAGGGTACCATATGAGTCCCGGTACTCAATTCCGTGAGTACGGCTATTCGAATAGTTTCATGAATATTCTACTGCAGTAGATGTACGCTTTACCCGCAGTCCACGACTTGCCAATATTCATTAGCTTAGTCATGGCCCAGTATTAGGTTATTAACAATTGTGGTACCTGTTCCATGAACTTATATCCTCATGCGCTCTGAACGTGACGTTAACAGCAGCGAGAGGAGTTCTGGCGTTCCCGGGGTACTTGAGGGGAACTGATCGTATGACACCACGTCATCTCGATCAGGGTTTAGAATTATAACCATAATTATAATTGAGCTCAACAAACCAATTACCAGTACATGGTAATGGTAGAAATTTCCCTTCGCAGCTATAGTTGCCTCCTGCTCGAGGACTTAAAAATAAGAACCACTACACAGAGGTATCACATTGCTAAGTAACATAATGACTAGGTCTGTCCCCATTCTAGAACTGCGGTCGTACCCGTTCGTTTGACATAAGTACCTGGCAAAACTTATATCGATTGAGACAGTACTAGCCACCCAGGAATCAACCAAATCTTACGTACTGTCCCAATCTAAGTATAAGGTATTTTAACCAGATTGTAAGCAAAATAAGCAATACTAAATTGTCTGGGTTTCTATGGTTGATTTATGCATAAAAAATAGAATATTGAATAGAAGGCTATAAATAAATAATTTATAAAATATAGGCTTAAATGATCAAAAGGTATATGGTAACTTGCCTTGCTCGATGTCCTGAGATTGACTGATATTATCTAATGTGTCAGAAGAATCCTCAAGACCTAGGGTTAAACATATAAAATTCAAATTCAAAAGGAAATCGAATAAAATCCAAAAATAGGCAAAAATAAAATAAAATGAGAAAATAGCAAAAAATAGCCTCAAAAGATAGAGAAAGATTTTAGAAGAATTTTGGTCCATGTTTCACGGGAATTGGGTTTATATTTTAAAAGATATGGGCTTCTAAAGATTGGATTTGAATTAAATTGAGAAATTAGAAAGGTTACTATAGAGGGGCCCACCCGTCAGTCTTTTATCTTCTTCTCTTTCTTTTTCTTTTCTTCTTCTTCTTCCCGTCTCTTCGTTCTCTCCTTCGGTTGAACAGAGAGGAAGGGGAGGAGGGGTGCCGGTTTTCCGGCGGCTGGAGGGCGGCGACGCCGGCGGCGCATGGTGTTCCCGAGCACCGTGCATCCGGAGAGGGTGGTGGCTGGCGGAGGGAGAGAGAGGGATGGCTGGAACGGCAGCTGCAAGAACTTGCTCCGGCCACTAAAAGAAGTGGCGATGGTGGCTGCTATGGGGTGGAAGAAAAGGGGAAAACGGGAAAAATGGAATCACCTCGGCGAGGCGGAGTTGGTGGCGCAAGGGTTTGGCTTGCGAAGCTCCAATGAGGGAGATCGGCCGGGGGCAGTCATGGCCGGACATGGGAGAGAAAGAGAGAGATGAAGCTCCATTTGTAGGTAGAGAAGGGGAGGGATGGCCGGCTATTTATAGAGGAGAAGGGCGGTGGGGAGAGGCGGTTGTGGAGGAGGAGGTCAAGGAGTGCACGACGACGGTGGCGTGAAGATTCGAAAGACGGCGGCCGGCTTCGTTTCCTTAGCGGCGAGGGAAGGCATTGGCGGCGGCGTGCGCGTGTGGAACACGCGCACCTGGAGGAGGATAGAGGCGGCTGCCTCTCTTGGGCCGGCTGGGCCAATTGGGCCGAAGGGAGAGAGAGGATTTCGGCCCAAAAGAAGTATTTAGGAATTTTGAATATTTTGCCTAAGGAGAAAGAATTTATCTAGAGATCTTTGGAAGAGTTTTGCAAAGATTATGCACTATAAAAATGTCTCACTAATAGAAGGGTGATCTAGAGAAAGTTTCTAAGTTTTGGAATTTGAAGAAAATTTGCTAAATCCACTAAGGTTTAGGATAGGGCAAAATTTAGGGTTTATTGGTAAACTAGGTTAAGGGGGTTCTAAGGGTAATCCTCGAACCAAAATCAAAAATAAAAAGAGAACTTTTAAAGAGAATTTTGATTTTGCTAATCTAAGATAAAAACCAGTCAAAAGCCAGCATGATGCAGTCAAATTTTAGTTTAAAAATTTGAGGATGTTACAATACGTTAGTGGGTATTAGTTGTTGTTGTAGTCACAATGATGAAAGAATAAAGGTGGCTAGTAAGCTGAACCCCACAGTCACTAGCCATGAGAGAAGGATGAGAGAGATTATTTATTTATTCCTTATGGCTAGGTAGTAAGCATATTACATGGTATTTGTTACTTACAATGTATACAACCTGGTAGTAGTAATAGTATTTTATTCCTTACTACCCACTTTAGATGCACATTGTGGATGCCCATGCTATTCACTTTTGATCCAATTGTAATTACCTTAGGTTTTGTTCATACTTTTTATGTTCATGGACTAGCTGTTTAGATCACATTATTGTATAATAATCAACTTTGATATCATCAATCTTGTGCTGGATCAATTGGGTTCGACCTACAGGATAGGTTTTATTAAAGGAGAACTATTTACATTTATGTTCAATCTAAACCTAGTTTTATGATCAATATTTCATATAATTTATAGCTGATTCTCTCTAGCATCAGCTGATACGATACAACATCAGCCCATTTGCCGATCGGCTATCGTCATTTAACTTTTTTCTATTGTCCCGCTCGTTGATTGCAAGATCAAATCAACTGGCACGTGCTGAACCCGAATTTTAGGACCTGCACTGAAGTGAAACAAATCTTCCAGGCCTTCGTGTGGAGGTGTTAAATTTTGCATCAACAATACATAATTAAGAGGATTTGCTAAGTTAAATACAAAATTTAAATAATTTTGCCAATAAACACAGTGAGTAATTAGAGTGTGTTTTAAATATGCAAAAGGCATATTATTAAGACAACCGGTAAATTTAGTAAAGCGGGGTATTTTAACAAACATATTTGCCAAATAACATATAACATCATGGGTTTGCAGGACCATTACATAGAGTTTACAAAACTAATTAACTGCTTTCATGGCTTCCGGCGAGGCGGGGGCTTACGAGGCAGCAGTCGGCGCGGCATCAACGACCACATGGCGCCAGGGTTGGTGGTGGTGGCCATGGGCCCGTATTGGGCTCCGTAGTGGGCGAAATGGGTGGCGCGGCGCTAACACATTGAGTAGCGGGGAATGTGGTGTAGAAGGTGAGTTCGGGGCCAACGAGGGAGGCCGAGAACGGCGTCCAAATTCAATCCTAAGATAGGCATCGTACCTTCAAGCGCTGGAGGCCGCTGCTTCCTTGATTTCTACTTCTCCCTTCTCTTCTTCTTTCGCGAGCAGTGCTGATAACATGTTAACAAAACACGAAACGAGAGAGGATTGATTTCTCATTGATCGTAGTGTTCAATTTATACATGCGCAATGGATGGGGTCCACTGCGCCCCTTGTCGAGGAGTGCCGAGAGGAGAAAAAGGGCGCGACCAACAGCCACGGTTCGTTCTCTACCGATTGTTGGCGAGGAGAGGCATGGCAACTGCTACCTATTCCTCCGGGTGGATGAGATCGCCCAAGATTTCTTAACACAAACCTGGAAATCGGCTACCAACTTCTTGATGTCACTAACAAGAACACAGGATTAGTCTGGCTGGATTCGTTGGATGATAGAGAGACAATTTGATGCCTTGGTAGCCCTCCGCCGGGACAAGGCACACCGAATCAACTTAGGCTTGAACCGTTGAACATTTCTGTGATTCAGCTTGTTGTAGACAAATAGACACCTAAGTGGTCCCAGATCACAAAACCAAAACCCACTTAGCTGGAGACTTGAAAAATTGCACCATCCGAATTGATGAGCACTGTCCTGCCGCCGGACTCCATCTAGTAACTGGAATAATCCATGATTGCCATGATTTTCTAGATTGTTGCCATGATTTTCTAGATTGCCTGGGTCGGTTGTGAGGTACACCCCCTGTGTGTTACTATCCATTCGCCTTCTTGGCACTACACAATTGCGCTATGTTAGTTAGCTCTACTGCTCTACCGAAAAAAACTAAGCATTGCATGGCTAATCCTGTCATGATTTCTTGATATAACAAGAATCTAGTTCATGGGTTGGCATCAATCCAAGAGTAAATCATATTGCAATCCCAATATTTTAAGAAAACACAAATAGGAACTGAAATCCAGATCCACACAATGCTGAAGTAACTGAACTGCCGTTTAACAAAGATAAAGACAGACTTCCCCACAGGTTCAAGTTCCAAAACACACCAAGTACATACTACATCACTTGCAGTCTCAGATATAAGATGCCAACCAAGTTAAGAAACGACGCCGTCGCTCAGGGTGAGAGCAGCTAGCTGATCAGTTGGGGTATTTGCCTGCTGCTGCTGAGCATTACGGAGAACTTCCATAGCCTCAGCGACCTTGGCCTTAAGAGCATCAGGTGACTCAATGAGATGGAGAACTTCAGTCTGGTCCATCTCCAAAAGCATGCCAGTGACCTTCGCTGCCTGATCATGCTCCAGCTGATCAACAAGCGGGTATAAACTTTCACCAAGCATCTGCAGCCATGAGAGGAAGTTATGATCCCAGTTCCAGATTGAAATTTATCCTTAGATCCGCATATGTGCATAAAAGCAAAAAGGATAAGCTAACCAGTCTTTGCTGATCTGGGGGTGAATTGGCCAGTGCAGAGGCCAATGCTCCAATTGGAACCTGCGGTGGTGCACCAGCATCACTGAGAGGCATTCTTCCCATCTCATATGGGGATGGCACTAAACCTCCAACACCACGGAATGCATTGTCTGGCATGCCACGACCAGAAGCATAACGGTAACCACCACGACTACCCCTTGGAAGCATCTGCCAAAACAAGAGATGCAAGGGTTAGACAAGGAGGCAAACTCCTTGTCAAAGTTAAACAAATGAGTTTCATTATGTCACTACAAACTGAGCATTATTACTTGCTGGTGGCCCATTGGCATTGGTTGCTGAATTCCACCAGTGCCTGCACGCCTTCCAGCTGGACGTTGTGGTTGTTGACCTTGCTGGACCATAGGCATGACAAAATTTGGAATTGGTCCAACACTAGGCCTCATACCAGGAATGAGATGTTGCTGGAAGCCAAATCCAGGCTACAGAAAGTAACATTTCGATAATACAAATTAATACAAATGAGAAGGCAATGGGGAGATAGGCAACAAAAAAGAGACTGATTATAGCATGTGCAAGTAAATTGTAAAGCAAGGCTGATTTGTAGTGCATAAACTGCAAATTATGCATCATATTGATGTATTTGATAAAAGACTGATTGTACAATAATGAGGACAAAGTTTTACAACCTTTTTAAACCAGGTGCTTACCATAGGCTGTTGCCATCCCCACCTTCATATGTAATAAACATATTGATGTATTTGGTAAAAGAAACAATCCAAATCACAGCCTTATCTGACTGTTATATCCATCCTCTTTTGGAGGTTAAATTGTTCAGCTTTGTTTTCCCCCTAGTTTCTAATGGAAATCAGTCATGGAAGATTTCTACAATGCACAAAGCTACAAATATCAATGACATGCTAGGTAGTCTTATAGATTTTATTCTTTCATCTTTTTGCAAAAATTCTGCTAGGTAAAATCACCCTGCAGATTTAAAAAAAATAGGAATAAATCAACAAACAAAGTTAAACCTATCTCTAGTTTTCCCTTCAGCCTCAACCCGGCTCTGGGGTGGTCGACCACCTACACATCCCCCACACAGCACCTTCGTATCAGATTCAAGTGATCCTTTCCCAGAGTCCACCATGGCTGCCATCAACAGCCTCCACGCCCTGCATCGCTCATCCATTGCCATGCATAACACCATCATGGGCTCAATAAGGTGAGGGACTTTGTGCAGCACTCCATGCGGGCTGGCGGTGTCCAACGATAACTTCTCCACTGCCACCACCCCAACAGACTCATTTTCTGTACCCTCTCCTCAACCATCGGCCACACTACCAGAGGTGGAGGCCATGTCACTGGCCACAGAGCCACTCCCTTGGCAATCATCAGTGTCCGCAGCTGCAGTGGTGCTGCTACACCTTTGCCAGCACTCGCCAGGAAGCAATCAAGTCAGCCGTCGCCGCGGGAGACCATCGTGTCGCACCGTCACTGTTCCCTCCTGCGACCACACGGCAGCAAGACATCTTCAAGCGGTTCCCTCGAGCAGCAATGCGTCTTTTGGAGGCGGTGCAGCTCCCTGGTGACCGTCAATCTGTCATCCACTTTGTTGGCCTTGGCAACAGCATCGATATGGCTACAAGGCAGCGCTTGGTGACTCAGGCATACAATTTTCTGGCAGAATCACCGAGAACAACTGGCACGACTCGAGGAGCTTGAGCCACAATTGGCGGTGACATGCACGCCTCGTCCAACTCCATGCAAATTGGTTCCGTCCCCACGGGCACAAAGTGCACCACTATCCTCGCGAGTAGCTAGCACGGCAAGCGAGCGGAGTCCTCGAGCGTGATGGGAGGTTGCAGCACAATTAGTTGACTCATTGGGGTGGCCTCCACACAATCAGCGGGGTGCGCTGCTTCTGTGGACGGCGAGGGCTGCACCTGCGTGACCCCATGGTGATGTGCGAG